CCAAGCTATGGAACCAGCCCAGGGCCTGTCATCGATGAATAGATAAAGAAAATGTGGTGTATATGCACAATGGAATATTACTCAGCCAGAAAGAAGAATGAAATCATGGCGTTTGCTCATAAATGGATGGAACTGGAGATCATCGTGCTAAATGAAAGAAGCCAGACTCAGAAGTCAAGGGTTGGATGTTTTCTCTCACATGGGGAAGGAAGAAAATGACATTGAGATTTCTGCGTGTTCTAGTTTGAGCATCCGAGACATGGAACTCTCTGTCCTTTAGCCAAAATGAGGACAGGTTCAGATGTGGCCAGTCCTCAAGCAGGAAAAGTATGATGTCTCAGTCAGTGTTTGCTGCTATAACAAAATAACTGAGAATGGCTAATTTATAAAGAGCCGAATTTGATTTTCTCAGCTGTCTGCAAGATGAGAAGTCAGGATCAATGCAGGAGCTGACTCAGTGTCTGAATGGACTTTACAACTTCGTTCTGTGCAGTCACGTGTTGGAGGGAAGAAGGGCCAAAGGGTACATTGTTCCGTTGAGCCCTTTAGGATTCATTTCCTTCTGAGATTCATTTCTCATGTCCCCTGCAGGTGGTGGGCAGCCGGTGCCCGATGCCATAATCTCCTGATGGGCCTTCCTTTCCCTGAAGCGTGAGTATGATCTTTGATTTCGTCCTCGTCACCATAACAGGGTGTCCCTTTGTAAGACTGGCCCTGTTTCTATCAACCCTCTTGGTAATTTAGATAAAGCAATCTTCCAGAGGGTGACCTTCACCAGAGAGAGGGACTGGGGCTACCTTTAGGAACAGAGGTGCTCCATTTAACAACTCAAAATTCTGCCAATATTTACATGAGTGAGCTTGAGAATGGTCCGTTCTCCAGATCCTTCATCGCTTGAGACCCATCTCTAGATAATACCTCGATTGTCGATGTGTTGCTTGCTAATCAAAGGAGGCTGTTAATTTATAGCCAATTTGGTGATGCACAAAAACTATAATACACACGTATTTTAGGAACTTTTTCGTTTGCAATGGTTTTTATTTGTTACGCAGCAGTAGCTGACCCATACACTCTATAATAAATTCTGCCCTGGATCCCGTTACCACCTTGATATATAAATCCAGGTCTGTCTCTCAATATATTCTCACCTTAGTGCAGGAATTTGCTGTCGGAGGGGTTGAGGGACCTCCAGCAACCCCACTTCTCTGGGGTTAAACATGCTCAACTCTCTTAGAAAGAGGCCGCAGAGTTTGCAGCGTTGAAATCCACCAGTGGCATGGGAACAGGCTGTGGAAAACATGACCGTTCCCAGGAACTAAGGAGCTTGACATGATTTTACAACTCGCCTCGTGAAATAAAAATCGGCATGAATGACTTCTGGGTGGATTCAAATGCTTTGGCGAATTTCCGTCTTGGAAACTGCACCATTTTATACTTTGAGTTGGAAAGGCTGAGCTGAAAAGGAAAATAAAAAAAAATAGCCCAGAACGGAAAAAAAAAAAAAAGCCATATAAAAGCTTTCCTGTAGGATGCATTTTTCTGAAGCGAAATCAGACATTCGTGCCCTTGAACAGAGCAGCACTGGGGTATTGTATTTTGTTTGTTTTTCATTGAGTGTTATTCTCTTGTCATTGTGCCCCATGAAGTTGGATCCAAACGACTTCCATGTTAAGGTCCTGAGTTGTACTGAGGAAGATTTTCTTGGGATAACTACATGAATGAAAAAAATCTGGGAGAAGTGATAAATGTGGGGAACCCCGATTACCAACCATTTATCTGGGGACCTCAGTCTCTGCCGTACCATTTACATTTGCAACATAGGTTTATTCTTTGCTTTCTGAAGAAGTTTGCACGCGCATGCATGAGACTCTATTTGCAAACACCAGCACGGTCCAGCATGACTCTAGATGGGCACAGCATTGTCACTTACAGCAAATAAGCAGTAGGGACAGATTCCCTGCTTTCCAACGTAGCCCCATTCAGTTACCATCTGTAATCTCTGTCTCTGAGTGACTTTTCCTTAATGTGTCCGTCAGCGGGTTGGAGAGAGTGGACAAGAGACACACATCTCCAGATCCGTGCGCATAGTGTGCTCAGAATTTGGTCCGTCCAAGCATCTCTATTGGTAATAATACTTCAACAAACCACGGGACCGTAGGGGAACCAAGCCACAAAATAATTCCATTTCTATTCTCGAGTGACGGAGAACAGGTCTAGAAAATAGAAATGGTGGCCTTGGATGACTTTTAATCTCTTCTCTTTTGAGGAGGGACGCTTTATTATTTGGCATGTGAAGGTGGGTTCTAAACTCTAGAGCCCTTGAAACGGAGGAAGTTCAGTTCCCAGCTCTGGTGAAAGGAGATAAAGGGCTGGGATTAACGTCGTCCATTAATTCCACTTGAGAAAAACAAAATGGCGGCCAAAGTAGATCACTAGTCCAGCTGACTCTGCCAAACTCCATTCTCACCTGTATCGACAGCCTCCTCAAGATCTCTACCTGGAGGCCTCAGGGATGTGTGATTGACAGCCACATCGACAGGCCTCTCCCATGCAGATGTCTGATCCGGGGTTGGGGGTCCGCTCTAGTGGGTGTGATCCATTGCATCTGAAATGGCTCTGTTTCCAACAAAGCTCGTCTCCTGAGGCCCAGGGGCTCAGAATTCAGCCTATCAAGGTAGAGAAGGAGGAGATTCTGCCCCTACCGCCGTGGTAACCAGTGCAAACCACAGAGGTCATTGGCCCTTGGAATATGCACCATGTTGGGCAACCTTCTCCTCTAATTCCAGATATTCATCAGCCCCAGTGGAAACCCTGGACCTAGGAAGCCACCCCATTTGTTGACTTCTCCATTTCTTGCTCTGGGTTTGAATGCCACAGGTTCGTAACCACCAGGCAGGAAAGTCTGGTCCTATGTAGACTAGTAGGATCAACGGCTGGACTTACCTCTCCTTCCTGCCCCCATTCAAACCAGCTGAAGAGAAGCCAAGGAGTCTCATAAAAAGAGATGCAGAAGAAGATTCTGAAGTCCCAGGGTGACCCGCTCTCAAATCAAATGGATATCTGTTTTCCTAGGACAGGAATAAAGTGAAATTATAATCAGCATTTTCAAATACAATAGTTTTTTAATGGAGAAAATGTGGGCATCTCAGTGGCCTGAAAATCAAGACTCTAAAAAAAATAAAAGAATCTTATTCCTACCATCGCAAAACGGTTAGTTGCAAAACAATTCTACAATTGCAAAAAATAAATAAATAAATTAAATAAAAGAGTAGAATGTTTTTATTATAAAAGAAGGAACTAGATTCATCCAGACAGATTTATTTTTTTTTTTAATGTTTGTTTGGCTTTAAGAATTTCCAGATTTTTTTTTTTAATTGACAGCACGCTGTAAAGTTAGATTCCATTTCTGCAGACGCAGTGTCACCTGGACGGACTGAATGACTGTCACGGGAAGATGTCCCGTGTCTGCGAGGGTGATGCCCACCACCCACGAATGCATAATTTGGTATTAACCAGTCGCTTTCTCAATGAGGCCAAAGGATGTCTTCTGGCAAATTCCATCGAGCCCAATTGCGATGCCTGGGATTCCTCCTTATTCCCTTTGTCTCTGATTTTTATTTTAATTAATTTATTTTTTTTAAGTTCCTGGCAAATGAGACAAGTTGAGAGTTGAACTGAGGGAAAACCAATATGGCGGCCATGGATTCCCACCCTCCATCCTGGAGATGCTTCTCCTAAACTGACTCCCTCTGTTGACCCAGGAAGCCAAATGGATTCTAAAAATGGGTCTCCTTTCCATCAGCACCTCAGGGCCCAACGTCTTCTTGAAGCCATGGACAGAGGGCCACTCTGGACGGTGGATTCTTATTGAGAAATTGCACAAGAAATCCAGGACCCGGTGTATGGACGGTGGGATTCTTGGGACACCCGCCATTTCTGGAAATCAAAGCAATGAATATGGAGCCCACGTGCAGCCCCCGTTGGACGGACTGGCTGTGGTCTGAAAGCAGGAGGTCTGCAGGGTGTACCCAGCTGCTTCCAGACCCCAGAGGGTGACAAGAAGAGCGCTATGGATGTTCTTTCTAGCAAGAAGCAGAAATTGCCAACTTGGCCTGCCACCCAGGGGCTGGGGAATTGCTTAGCTCTCTCTGTCCCTCTTATCCTTCCAAGTTCCATGGATCCCAAGGGCAGCTCCAAGTGTTCTCCTTCTTGCTTTTGCTCCTATAAGTGGGAACGTTGGATGTAAACAGGAGATGTTTCACCGGAGTGTGTCCATCTCAAAAGCTTATGATGGTCGGGAGGCTGAGGTAGGAGGATCGGGAGTTCAAACCCAGCCTCAACCAAATCGAGGCCCTGAGCAGCTCAGGGAGACCCTGTCTGTAAATGAAATGCAAAATAGGGCTGGGGACGGGGCTCAGAGGTCGAGGGCCCCTGAGCTCAATCCCTGGTACCACAAAATAATTATTATTATTGTATTATTCCATGTGGAAGCCGTAGCATCTGTCCACCCTGCTGGGTTTGCAAAATGGCACAGTCTGTGGTCAAGCCCAGAATCTCAAGTGGGCATTGGGACAGATCTCCAGGGCTGCAAATGTGATTTCTACAGGGAGTGCATTCTGAGCTGTCTGCAGAGGCATCTGTAGCCCATCAGAGGGACAAGCCACATGTCACAGAGGTGTCCAATGCACAGGACCCCGGATCTCTCACATTGGGTGAAAGTCGGACACCAGGCGTGGCCTTCCGAAAACCGAGAAGAACCGGTGGAAAAATCCATCAATTACTGTGAAGCTACTGCCCGGATCTGTGTTAGTGAGGAGTGAGAGCCGATGGGTCTAATTCCTTCCAGATGTTTCCTTGTACAAACAACGGAGTTCAGTCTCTCTGCGATGACTCACCGCCCCGCCGGCTCTTTATTGGCCCGGCCCGCTGTGCTGTTCCAAATGCAAACCTCAACTCTGCAAAAGGCCTTCTTTTTTCCTTTCTTCCTTTTTTTTTTTTTTAAAGAAGTTGCATCCACTTTCGAAATTCCCCATGTCTTACTGGGCTCAGCTCCTTGCAAAAAAAAAAAAAAAAGTCTTAATTAATCACACATGTGGCTTCGGTGGCAATATCTCCCATGACTAACAGGGAACTCGGGAAGTAATACACCGCCCCCCACCGCCCCCATGCCGTCAGGGTGGCGAGTCCTGAACAATTCCACTGAGTGGCAGAAAGTCTTGCGATGGGACAGCAGCTTGATTCATCTCAGCTCACTCCTTTCTACAATCATGAAGCTGATTTTCTTCTTTTCTTCAGCTTGCAGAGGGCATCTGAGGCCCAGTGGGCTGCTCCAGGCAAACACCACAGCCCCCCACCCTGAATGATTGACAGCTAATGCCCCCAGCTCTGGGCTGCAGCCTGAGGTCCATGTGGGGCGGACCCGGGTCAGCTGAGGCTGCTTCCTGCTCCCAGAGGCGCCTTCTCCTGGGTCCTCCTTGGGGAAGGGCAGGGGGCTCTCAGGTCTCTGATAAGCACCCTCGTCCCCTTCATGGGCTGCACCTGGGAGCTCAGCCCCTCCCAGAGGACCTGGGTGAGTTGTGTGGTTGCATGAGGTTCCTGCTACCATGTTGATTTGGGGCATTTATTGCATGAGGCTCAAGCTGCCATATTGGTTTGGGGCATTGGCTATGTGAGGTTCCCGCTGCCATTTTTGTCCAGGGTATTTATTGCATGAGGTTCGTGCCGCCATGTTGGTTTGGGGCATCTATTTGGTGAGTTTTCTGCTGCCATATTGGATTGGGGCATTTATTGCATGAGGCTCTTGCTGCCATATTGGTTCAGGGAATTCAGAGATCACTGGGCCCTGTTTCAGTTTGAAAGGCCAGAGGAATGGAGCTGCACCCTTTGGCTTTCAGATTCGGGGGTGTGTCTGCCAAGGGCACCCACCCGAGGGCCCCTGGCACGGCCAACATCAAGGGGTTGTGCCCCGTGGCTAGTGGAAGGGTCTGGTACCTCCTGATGGTCCATTAGGGCCCCTTAAGTGATTGACAGCTGATGCTCCCAGCTCTGCAGCTGCAGCCCGAGGTCCAGGTGGGGCTGCCCGGGGTCAGCTGAGGCTGCTTCCTTCTCCCAGAGGCCCTTCTCCTGGGTCCTCCATGGTGGACGGGCAGGGGGCTCTCGGGTTCCTTTTATGGGCTGCACCCCATGAGCTCAGCCCTCCCAGAGCCCCCCTCCAACACACCACCTGGGTGAGGGGTCAACTTGGAAATGTGGAAGGACCTGGAGATGCCGCAGGGTTTGGACGGGACCCCCATAGCGTGGGCAGGTGGAGCCAGGAGGCAGGTCAACCTCAGCTGAAATACAAAGGCCCCAGCCCTTCAAGCCCCGGCCAGCCCTTGCAGTGAGGGATCAAGTTGTCAATCAATGAGGATTTATTCTCCCATTTCTTCCAAATAGTGCCTTTGGGTGCAAAACTCAAACATCTTTCTAGTTTGGGCCGAATATTATTTTATACTAATCTCTTTGTCCCTCTATTTTCCCCTTAATTTATTTTGGTTTATTTGTTTGTCTTTGATCTGGTTAAAAAAGTCTCCTCTTTGTATGGATCTACCTGCTTTATTTTGCCCAGTACCAGGGATCGAACCCAGGGGTGCTGAACCCCTGAGCCCCGTCCCCAGCCCTTTTTTTATATTTTATTTTGAGACAGGGCCTCCGTAAGTTGCTCAGGGACTCAATAAGTGGCTGAGGCTGGCCTCCAACTTGTGATCCTCCTGTATCAGCCTCCCTATCTGCTGGGATAACAGGCGTGCACCGCCATGGTGCCTGGTTATTTCTGTTCTGTGATGTAAAACTGGTAAGTCTTTGTTTTTTTTATCTTGGTCCATATTCCTCTGCTTTCTGGGAGAAAACTGAGCTTCCCGTTTTCACGAAAGATATTCTACTTAACATTCCTAGTCATATAAACAGGAAAAAAAAAACAAAAAACCACAAAGTGGACATTTTTACCGTCTTCCCAAGAACGTGCATCTTCCCAACTCGGATCCCTTTCTCTCCGAGAAGTTATTCTGAGCCTTCTGTAGAGTCCACATTTCCTTTTCTACCCTCAAAACTGAACTGATCTTATCGATGATCTTATCACTGGGCGACAGATGTAAACCCAGCTGCAAACACTTCCTGTTCCTCTTTATTCAAAGACAATCACACAGCCCAGGGGTTTTCTCAGCCCAGAAGGTCCGTTTGTGGATGGCGTTGAGGCCCGACCTCCCTGCCTCCCTTCCTGAGGTGCAGGCTCTGAGACGGGCTTGGTGCAGCCCTGAGCAGGAGACACAGACGGGCGGCCCCTTTCTGTGCAACTCTCCCAGGACTTGGTGACATTGTTCCCAGGCCCCGAGGTCAGCCAGGAGGCTGGGGGCACCTGAGCCATTGTCCCTGACTATTTTCAGCCTTCCTGTGTCCCTTGCAAGAATCGAGCTGCCCGTCCACGTTCTGGTGACAATTGGCCTTTGATTTTCCTATGTCTTCGCGCTTTTTTTTTTTTTTTTAATATGAAGCACTTTGGGGGAACTTTGCATTTTGAAATCACGGTGGATTCCAGAGTGTTGCAAGAGTTTGACAGCAAATCCCTGTGTTATATCAGAAACTAATTCTCGCCCTCTCTCTCTCTCTCTCTCTCTCTCTCTCTCTCTCTCTCTCTCTCGCTCTCAAAATCTGGACTTCAAAGGGGACTGTATTGAAAGTGACTGAGAAAAGCTAAGTCATTTGATAGTCAAAGCCAAAAAAAAAGAAAGAACACTTTCTTTCTTTTTGGATTTTGGACGAGCAATTGAACCCAGGGTTGCTCAACCACTGGAGCCACATCCTCAGCCCTTTTTATTTATTTTTATTTGGTTGTTCTAATTAGTTCAACAGGACAGTAGTTATTTTTTTTAGAAAAATTTGAGACAGGGTCTTGCTAAATTGCTGAGGCTGGCCTCCCACTTGCAATCCTCCAACCTCAGCCTCACTGAGTCACTGGCATGATAGGCAGGCACCACCGCGGGCCCTGCAAATCCAAGCCCTGTGATAGGTCACTTGCGGATACGTCCCTGTCTGCTGTGGTCCCTGGCTCTGATTGAATGCACAGGGGCGTCTCTGGATTAGCTTTTTCTTCCTTTTTATCTTTCACTCATTCTTTCCCCAAGTTATTCACCCACTTAATACAATGAGATGGTTCAGGAAACGTCTGTGGATGTAAGTATTGGGATTTGGATGCAAAGATGAATATATTAAAAAATAAAAGATAGAGGTGTACAAATGGAATACTACTGAGCCATGAAAAGGAAGAAAGTTCTGTCAAACTGGCCCTGTGCTGTGAACAGACCTCTCGATAGGTGTTGTCACCACCTTGTGACAGCAAATATCCGCCTGACACGTGCTCAGCCCCTGGATCTTGCTACCAGGCAGCTCTGACTACGCAGGTCTTGCTGGGAGCCTGGGGACCTGCGTTGCCGTCCAGCCTGGCTTTAGGAGGTGATGTCTGAGGAGGTGAGCAGCTGTGCATCAGGCCGGAGCAACGGAGGCATTTTTGTGCTTAGAGAAAACAAGCTGCTCTCCCCTCTTGGAGCCCTCGAGGCCTCTGTCCTGCGAGGGCTACTCTCTGTTTCCTGCAGGAGGCGGCTGTTCCCCTCCATGGGTCTCAGAACCGCCCTGAAACTCACCTGGGCACCTTTGAGTTGGTGTCTGGTGCCCTGCTGTTTGCAGACATCCCCGGAAACACTTTGCTCCTGGTACCCTGGAATACACCATGGGCCGACATGTGTGTTTGCAGAGTCTGGCTTCCTTTAGCTCAGCCTGATGGTCTCCAGTCCCTTGCATTCACCAGCAAATGGCCTGATTTTATCCTTCTTCCTGACTCAGTAATATTCCGCCATAAACATATACATATCACATTTTCCATTTAAAAAAAAATTGAACTGTATTTTTTTAATTGCTGATGGATTTAAGCTACTTCACCTGCAGCTTGGGGACTCCACCAAGACCCAAGCATTCCCTCGGTCCCTGTCTCTGGTCCCCGTGCTGCAGGGGTCACTCTGTCACCTGGAGACAGAGCCCTGAGCGCTGAGCCGTGCGCATCCGGAGGCGCAGACTCCGCTCCCAGGAGCCTACGTTGCAATAAAAGGGAAAACGGGGGAGCGACCCCCCCTCATTCCTCTGGGGCATGGAAAGCCAGAGAATGGCCAGGGGCTGGGCCTGGGGCGAAGGCCCGTTTGCTGTCCAAGGGAACAGGGTGGGGGACTTCCCCTCGCTCTCTCCCTCCGCCTTGCGTTCCGGGGCCTGCCCTCGGGGGTCGTTAAGTTCCCAGATACTCGCAGTGAGTGTAAAAAAGGGAGAGAAAGGGGAAAAAAGGGCCCCTCGTCTGGATTTTTACAGCTACAGCTGCTGGTTTTATGGGATCATCGCCCCGCGGTGAGGTTCTCACAGGCCTGGGGAGGGGGACACCGCGGGCAGGACCGGCAGCGCTGATTGACGTGCTGAGCGCGGGTCCCGTGGGTGGCTCTCCTGCAACCCGCGTGGGGTTCTTTAGCTTCCCATCTTGCACGTGGCCCTGACCCTGTGCCCTTCAGGACACCCAGAGCATTGATCAAGGACAGAACCTGCCAAGGTGGCGCACGCCTGTCATCCCAGCCGCTTGGGAGGCCGAGGCAGGAGGATCGCGAGTTCAAAGCCAGCCTCGGCCAGAGCGAGGCCCTAAGCAACTCAGGGAGACCCTGTCTCTCAATAAAATGCAAAATAGGGCTGGGGACGGGGCTCAGGGGTCGAGGGGCCCTGAGTTGCATCCCCTGTATCAAAACATAAATAAATAAATAAATAAATAAGTTGGACGGTGAGATGTGAATCCAGATCATGGAATATGCACGAGAAAGCAAATTACTACGAATAGGAAATTCATCTCCATCATGAGAAGAAGAATCAACTGGCTGCTGAAATCAAAAGACTTGAAGTTTATTTGGGACTCATGGGGTCCGAGGTCCAGTCCCTGGTGGGCGACTCCATGGCTCTGGCCCAAGGGGAGCAGAACAAGATGGCGGCAGGGCCTGGAGGAGGAGAGCAGCTCAGGACAGGGCACCAGGGAGCAGAGAGAGCTCTGTTCACCAGGGACAGGACAGAGACCCCAAAGGCACAGCCCAGGGACCCCCTCCTCCAGCCACACCCACCTGCTGCAGCCACCACCCAGTGAGTCCATGCAAGTGGATTAATCCACCTTTAATCTACACCTCTCAATTCCCCAACTATAGCAACCCGTACTTAGTAATAAAGTGACACACGTTTCAAAAATATGGACAATTATCACTTGTGAAATCCAAAGAAATATGCAGAGAACATCTCTTGAGTCTCCCTAACAACAACAAAATGCTGTCCCCACCAATGTCTCTTCAGGACTAGATGGGGACACCCGTGTCCCACATGTCAGGAAAAAGAAATGCAAATGTAACTCTAAAGAGTTCAAGTAAAATAATAAAACTAACCTGAAACGAGCCTGGTTTTCATTACCGTGACCGATGGGTGACTTTTCACGGTATCGACCGTAAAATGCTTGTTAAAGAACAAGGTCAACGTGGTTGAACTGGGCTAATTAGCATGACCATTATACATTGGCTGACATGAGCTAATTAGCATAAGCGTCACGGATTGGTTGAACTGGGCTAATTATGCATTGGCTGACATGGGCTAATTAGCATAAGCCTTACAGATTGGTTGAACTGGGCTAATTAGCATAAGCATTGTGTATTCGCTGACATGAGCTAATTAGCATAAGCTTCACCGATTGGTTGAACTGGGCTAATTAGCATAAGCATTATGTATTGGCTGACATGAGCTAATTAGCATAAGCTTCACTGGATTGGTTGAACTGGGATAATTAGCATAAGCATTATACATTGGCTGACATGAGCTACTTAGCATAAGTTTGTGCATTGGCTGACCTTTTTCTTTATCTCTGTTCTGAAACCTTTCCTGCAGTTACCTGTTCTTTTTAAATTAATTGTTTCTCTGTCACTTGTCCCGGTTCACGGGGTCAGTGTGATCATTAATGCACATATACAAGGTCCAGCGATCAAACGGGAGCAGCTCGTACGTTCAATCCCTTTCTTTTTAAATTTGTGATTTCAATTTATTTTTAAGAGATAACAAAACCTAAAAAAGATGGACGCGTTCCTGGAGTTCTATGGGATGCTGTGACATACGACTACAGCACATCAATTGTGCAGATTTGGGCAGATACGTCAGACAGCTTCAGGGCAGGGTTTGCTTTGATTGGCAGGGGACCTCAGGGGAACTGATAGCCGACGCTCACGGTCAGATTCCAGGTAGGCCTCACAGATTTGCACTCCTGCACTGTACTTGGAGCAAGCTCAGGTGCTTTGGGTATCTAGAGCAGCATAATTCACAGTAGCTATGCTATGGAGCCAACTTTGATGCCCTTCAGCAGATGCATGGATAAAGCAAATGTGGTGCATAGACATGATGGAATATTATGCAGCCATTAAAAAAAAGAATGCCTTTGTGACCTTGATCAGTATAGAGATGGATCTGGAGACTATCAGGCTAAGTGAAATGAGCCAATGGCAAAGAAGAAGAAGAAAGAAAGAAAGAAATCAGAAGGTCAAATGTTCTCTCTGGTATGTGGAAGGTAGCCCCCAGTAAGTGGAGAAGGGAGGGGGTAGGAAAAGGAAAGACAGTGGAATGAAACTGACCTCATATACCGTCGTTCATATATGAATATTCCACAGTGAATCCCACCGTCTTGTGTATCCACAAGACACTAATTTAAAAAAGAAACTATAATAGCAAAATGGTCAGCAGAGGGAAGGGAGGGGGGAGGGGGAGGGGGGAGAGGGAACAGAAATCCGTGGGGTCTGAATGACAACAAATTATAATGCATGCTTTTATAACGATGTCAAAATGCATCCTATTGTCATGCAAACTAAAAAGAGCCACTACGAATAATTAAATAAATTAAAATGTGCATAAATGGTTTTAAAGAAAAAGTAACAATTTCAGTGCCAGTCTGTCTTTGACCCCAGTGGAGGTCACTTGGGACAAACATTTGGTCCTGTTTTTCATCCTCCTGCCTTAAAAAGTGACCATGCATAGGAATTATGTATGCATGAGTCCCCGCATTTGGTTCGTGCATGTGTTAAAACCTGCGTTTAGGAGTGCAACCTGAGGTTTTGATACCTATTACTTGTGCAATGGCTGAGTAGAGCTAATTAGCATAAGCTTCGTGCATTGGTGGAGCTGAACTAATCAGCATAAGCATAATACATTGGCTGACATGAGCTAATTAGCATAAGCTTTGTGCATTGGCTGACGCATGCTAATTATCATAAGCTTTACAGATTGGTGGAGCTGAGCTAATTAGCATAAGCATTATCCCATTGGCTGACATGAGATAATTAGCATAAATATTGCACATTGGCCGGCCTTAGCTACTTAGCATGAGCATTGTGCGTTGGTGGTCCGAGCTAATTAGCATAAGCATTGTACATTGGCTGACCGGATCTAATTAGCATAAGCTTCCCAGTCTAGTTTCTCCTTTTTCGTGTGTGGTGAGAATATTGCAACAATTGGCAAATCGGCAGCACATTACTAGCTAGAATCAACGTGTTGGGTAATGAGTCTCTTGCATTTCGTCTTCACCTCTAATTGAAAGCGTGTTGTCCCCACCCACCCCCGTTCCATCTATAATTAATCCATAAACAACTTGCAAGGCTCTGAGCCAGGGTATCTTCGCCCACACAGGGAAGGCCCACCCTCCTGCGGGTCCAAGGATCTGCACGTTCAAGACGGAGCCATTTCCTCCCCTCCTTCCATGAACCACAGGAGCCTGAAAAACACCAGCGGTGAAGATGTGCAGTGCTTTCTCTCTAGAAAACCAAAGGGGAAGGAAAGGCAGGATCTCAAGAAAATAGAAGAAACATCAGCAGAGCAGAGTTGGAGGCCTAAGAGGCAGGGAGAGGGGAGAGGAAGATCTGGGGAGGGGAGTGGACCAGCAGCTCAGGAGGCTGAGCCAGGAGGATCGAAAGTTGGAGGCCAGCCTCCGCAACTTAACAAGGCCTAAGCAGCTTAGCAAGACCCTGTGTCAAGATTTTAAAAAAGAATACAAGGTCTGGGGACGTGGCTCAGTGGTTGGGCACCTTGGGTTCAAACCCACAGGTGGTGCTTAAAATAAAATTAAAAATTAGTTTGCCTTGCTGGGTGGCACTGTCACAGAGTGGGGACTTCCAGGAAACCGAGGGAGCAAGAAGATCTCTTTCGAAATCCCAGATTCTTGCCATTAAGTCAGCAAGATGTCGGACCTGTCACTCAGGGTGACAGGCAGGAGCGTATTGAAGGGGTGGAGAGGGCAAGGGGACACTCTCAAGGGACAGAAGGTCCTCTCAGAGGGGACAGGGACAGCGCGCCCCTCCTGGCCTCCAGTTTTATGGGGGTCCCAGGGAAGTCCCCAGAGAGACCCACCCAGGTCCCCTCCTGACTTTGACGGACAGCAGGGTGACCTCCGACCCTCCAGTCCCCAGGGCCATGGCCACTCTGGGTCCCCCTGGCCCCTGCTGCCTGGTGCTCGGTGGAACCTGTTCTTGCAGATTTTAGGGTTGGAGGAAGGAGCCTCGTCCCCCTGGGTCCCGGGACCTGGTCTGCGTCAGGGTCCCACAAGTCCCCCCTTCAGGGTCCCCTGGCTCCTCTCAGGGACGTGACTTCCCGCCTGCATGTCCCCTGCAGGTCACAGGAGGTGTGTGAGGACGGTGGCGGAGGCTGTGCCCGGAGGCCAGGCAGGGCTGCAGGTCCAGGGCTTCTGGGAAGGAAGCTGTGGGGTCAGCACCGGGGGCCACCAGGTGACCCCCTTGTTCTCTGGAATGTACTCAACTGTAATTGCTACTAAAAAAAAAAAAAAAATGGCAGGGGAAGCGATGCCAGATAAAACTTAATTTGCTGCCCTGGGCGTGTGGCTCTGTGCGCAGAGATGATTTATTTCTGTGCTTGGCCCCGGCGTGCAGCATCTTGGCGCTCTCGTATCCGTGCTTCGGGGCTTATGAGATGGCGCGGGGTTTCAAGTCCTTGGAGAAGCGTTGGTGGGCGCTTTGGGTTGGACTCTTGGTTTGCAAAGCTGGACGGACGCCATCGCCAACAGTGACCACCCTCAGAATTTGGGGGGGGGCCTCTGCCAGGTTGGGCTCGTAATTGAATGGCAGGTGATGAAAAGCGTGGTACAGGCAGCCTTGTTGGAGGAAGTAGGCGTGTCCCTGAGGGATCTGTCCGGTCTCAAACCCCTTCCTTCCTGTCTTTCGCTCTGTCCTTCCTTGGGCCCCACCATGACGTGAACAGCTCACCCCAGCAGCTGCTTCCCACCCTGAGGGTCTATCTCACCCCACAGAAATACCTTCCCAAATTTTACTTCTCCATTTTCCAGTGAGATCTGAGGAGCTAGAATGGCCGTGCTGATGGAGGGGTGCTGGGTCTTGGTCCCTAAATACCATGCATTCACCCTGAAATCTTGCAACTTTGTCCCCCTACGTGGTCAAGGTGGCGCCAACCACACTCCCTTTTGGAAAAGCCGTGCTCCTGTGTGAAAAATGAGCTGCCAATGGTCCAAGCTTAAGATTTACCTGGCGATTGACAATGTCCATCCTTTTGCTGGGGACGTGGCTGAGTCACAGAGAGCCTGCCGGCAGGCACGGGCCCCTGGGTTCTGCCCCAGCATTGCAAAAATAAAGTGAAGTCATTAAATTCAATAATAAAATCAAATATAAATCAAAGATAACATAAAACAATAAATGCACACTATTAATTATTTTAATCAGTAGATGCTGCATCTTTATTTTTTTTAGTAGCGACACCCACCAGGATTTCCCAAGGGATCATGATCCTACAGAAGCCGTGGGCTACCTGTTTTGAAGGACACTGTCCGCCCACGCTAATGCATGCATACCTGTGGCATCCAATGTATGCACGAGCCGGCTCCTTGCTAAAGACGGCGGCCAGTTCCTCTTCAGCCCCGTGTGGCCCCCTCCAAAGTCTCTTGGGTTCGACCTCTGAGCCCCTTTGGATCCCCGGGATCTGGATCTCAAGGAAGGGGCCACAGGGTGCTGGCCAAGGCGTATTTTCAACTCGGCTCCGGTCCCGGATGTCCCCTGGCGAATTTCAAATGCAAAATTGCATCGCGGGAAATGAGTGGCTGGTCTCTTAATTGGGGGAAAAAAAAATGAGTGGGTGGGACTGGGTCATGTCGTGGCTTATCTTACTGTTTACCAGGGGGAGGGTGCATTTGGGGCTCATGAAGGATTCATTAGCGGGGAAAAAAATGTGCACAGAGAAGTGATCTGGACCCCTGCAGGCGTTTTGGACGGATAAGATGCCCTGGGTGGCCCCGGGGCCAGTGTGACATACCAACGTTGGGACAGAGCTGCCTTCTGCCCGGCGCACCCACCTGAAGGCACGACGTGCAACACCTGGGCATGTTTGGGTGCTCTTTCTAGGTCTTTGGCACCTGCCCCTTTGCATCTGATGGGATCATGGTGCATATTTGATTCTCTGCCCACACGGGTTTTTTGG